TTACTGAAAATATATAAACATTTGCCCAGATGCTTTCTTTACGAAGATTATCCAAACACAAAAAAACATATGTTGCTGTGGTTTCACAGGGAAGGGAACTCAAATATAAACTGAAACCAGAAATGGAAAAGAAGACAAACTTTAAAACCTCAAAAATGTAACTTATGAATTGAGTACACCAAAAAAGTTTCAAAATCATTTTTAGACAAATAGAGAACAAGACCCAAAATTAATTTCAGTTAAAAGAGGAATAGACCATGAGCAAACGTACCAAGAAAAAAGACTAGGAAGCTTGATTCAATTTAATGAAGAATGTGATGAGTGTAATTTAATCATTAAACTTCAATCATTAAACTAACACCTCTAAATCGAGTTTTTGATTTGTTCTTGAGCACTTTTGAACGTTTTGATATATTTGTTCGTGTTGTTTTGTAGTTTAGACAACTTTTGGGAAAAGGCCACAATTTGGAGCTTGTAATGGATCTACATGTTGATCATAAGAATGGAGCATGAATAGGAGAGAAAAAAGAAGATTGAAATGGAAAATAGGCTTGGAGAATGAGCAATTTAAGAGAAAAAATAGTTTAGCAGGCGCCACGGGGCCGAAATTGGCGACACGACACCCACATAGTCGAAGAAGCAGAACTGTTGGGGCTGCGGTGCCCAGAATTGCTGGCGCCCCTTGTGCGCTGCGGCTCTAGAACCCAATCATATTGCGGGGCCGGCCTGAACCCAGGAAAATGTCATTTTTTTTTATTAAAACTCGGCCCAAATCGTTCCCTAACCATCCAAGACTTCTAGATAATATAAATACGAAGATGAAGACCCAGAAGGGAGCCCATTTTCTGAAAAAAATCTGCTGAACACTGGATAGTGAAAGTGAAGAATTATCAAGAGGCAAAGAGGAGAAATTCAATTGCATCAAGATTGACGACCATTTTGGGGAAGAACACGAGACTTAAACTAGTGTTTCCTTATCCCTTCTGGGAAAACGCCACAATTTGGAGCTTGTAATGGATCTACAAGTTGATCATAAGAATGGAGCATGAATAGGAGAGAAAAGAAGAAGATTGAAATGGAAAATAGGCTTGGAGAATGAGCAATTTAAGAGAAAAAGCAGTTTAGTAGGCGCCACGGCGCTGAAATTGGTGACACGGCACCTAAGCAGTCGAAGAAGAAGTAGAATTGTTGGTGCCATGGCACCCAACACATGAAGAGAGGTAGAACTGCTGGCGCCATGGCGCCAGAACCCAATCATATCGCGGCGCTGCAGCGCCGAACCCAAACTCAGGAAAATGTCATTTTTTTTAATTAAAACTCGGCCCAAATCGTTCCCTAACCATCCAAGACTTCTAGATAATATAAATACCAAGATGAAGACCTAGAAGGCAGGCTGTTTTCTGAAAAAAATCTGGTGGAGAGTGAAAGTGAAGAATTATCAAGAGGCAAAGAGGAGAAATTCAATTGCATCAAGATTGACGACCATTTTGGGGAAGAACAGGCCACGTAAACTAGTTTTTCCTTATCCCTTGACCCTTCCCCATGTTTCGCATGTCAATTGATTCAAGTATGAACTAATTTCTTAGATTTAGGGTTGATATAACCTATTTGAGACATGAATTGATTCCAATATAGTTATTTCTTTTAGTTTTTCCAGAATTCATTTATGTCGTTTCCTGTTTAATGCTTTCAATTGCCCGATCACCAATTAAATGAATTGACGCTTTAAATTTGATACTCGAGAGAGGGAAATTTAGGCGGGATCTAGAAAAACTTAACCTAGATTCGTAGGTTTTGAGAGAAAGTGCGAATCTTTAAGGGTGAAAAAGGAACCAAGAGCTTCACAATCTTTATATGTTTAATTCAAAATTGAGATATTGGGGTTAAAAATATAGAGATAGGTGCTATTGGTGCTTGAGAGAGGTAATAGAATTAAATTAGGGTTCTTGACTATAAATTGAGAAAAAGTTTATGGAAATAGCTATAGAGGTTGAGAGACGTGCCAATAATACGGTGAAATCATTCCCTAGACAACCATAACCTGATTGATCTTTAGAAATAGCTTCATTTAGCTTCCATTCTTTATTTCATTTACATTTGGTTAGTACAAAAACATCATTTTAAGTCTGAGTTGTCTAAATAAAGTGAAAATCGAAATAATTATAATACTCAGTGGAACTCGAATATTAATTCCTGTGGATTCGACACTTTTCAATTCTTTACTTTACTACAAACCTTGACACCATATGCTTGTGGTTAAATCACATTATATAAAATGCGTGGCAGAATGTCAAAAGGTAATTTTGAAGGAAAGATAACTGCAAATATCCCTTTAAGTTAAAGCCAATGGACCTGACTTCCTAGTGAAATGGCAACCAAATGAAAAATTAATTGTTATCGGTGGGGGTTGCTTGATGACCAAAGTTTGCCCCTGTTTGGACCTCATTAAAATTATAATTCATTTTTCTCTCTTCTTATCAACCACACATTTATCAATAAAATAATATTATATATAATCCTAAGATTTTTTCTTCTTTTTTAACCATACAAACTTAAACAAAAAAAAAAAGCATTATTCCAACCATAAAAATTTCAGATAATGGGGACCAAACGGAGGCAGTAGAGCACAATACGTTCACATGAACTCTATATCATGTACCAAAATGCTATATTAATTATTAAAATACATAGATTGACAAAGTGGACCAAGTCAGAGTTTGCTGAGAGGGGGACCTCTCAATTTGAGCATGATGCTAAACGAAATATGATCGAAATTTTTGTTGTTCAAATTTATCTTTACAATAATGTCAATAACCTCAAACAACCAAAGTAATATACGGTGTGGAACGCAACGAACAAGAATAAGACTTGAGGAGAGAGGGAGAAAATATGAGTTTACTCAATAATCAAGACTAAGTATTACAATGCATATGCCCTCTTTATGCAGGGCTTCAAATAACATAATTTAAGTGGCAAACAACTAAAGAAATAATATAAAACACTTTAAAATGTAAATCCTATTATATTTTCTAAAATAAGTATTTCAACTGGAAAATGTTCCAACTATATATCACCACCAGGATTTCCATCAATATCACTAAATCAAGCACTCCCAGTAGTAGAACTTTTTCACCCTTTTCATGGAGAGGCAAACAGCAAAAAGTTAACAAAAGCATTGTTTTCATTTAATTCCACAATGTTGATAATATATGTTCATTGACCAAGAAGAAAAGTTCTCTTATTTCTTCTGATTTCAACCAAGTGATTGTTTAGAACCTGGCAGATGCAAACTCAGCAGTTTCTAATTGAGTTGATCACGATTAACATAGTTTAGTTTGTATTAGTTCTGACTGCTATTATTAAAGAAAAGAAAAAGGGCTAGTATCAATATATTGCAAGTGAATACCTGGGGAATACATTTTTAACTGCTCTTCGGATGATAATAGACTGATAAAAAGTGGGTTTTTCTCGCCAGCCCAAAGAAAAATAGTGGTAAGAACAAGAGCAGCCAAAGTACAAGAATGCCGTCCAAAGAATCTATTGAGATGTCCACCTTTCATATTTTTATTAGCGCTTCGTAAACAACAGAGACCCAGTGTCAAACCTTAGTAGCACCTATCTGCTGGGACATGGACATATATACAGTGAATGATTGCTATGACACCAATTGAGGATATATTAATCAAAAGACAATTAAACTAGTTGGAGTATATCTTGCATACATCTAAAGAAGCATTCATACAAAAGCAAAAGAAGCTTTCATTTACTAGACCAACGTGATATTACTATAACAGATTAAAAGGAGACGCAGGCCTGGCCTACTGCAAAGCATTTGATTTCATTAGATCTTTCCCTGGATGTTACCATGGATCAAACAGAATAATATAATGAAATTCCAAGTATTAATCTTAAAAAATATTGAAAATAAAACATAGTTATCATATGTGCTTAGGTAACTCATTTTTCAGTGTCACCATCAGTGCCTCAATTCCATGATATCAAGTGGAACTTTGGTCAACTGGATCAAATTTCCTTCGTTCCTTTCTTTAAAAAAGTAAGATTATTAGAACAAGATACGTCAACTGAATTAACCACGTATCTTCCATGTTCTCCATAAATAATAAAATGTCACTGTCAAATAATCACTTAAAATAAAAACTGACCACAACAGATACAATTGCTTACATTCGCAAATGTGATCACGAATTACTATAACTAGAATCTACTGCTTATGCCTATGAAAATTTGGAATCTTGCAATTTCTCTGCAAATGCGCCCAGATAGAATGCAATCGCGAACACCACAACAAGCAATGGTTACTTTACATAGCCAAAATATCAAAATATGACATCGTAAGCATTAAAAAATAAATAAATAAATAAACATTCCAAACAGATTATAAAGCCATTGTGAGGCATTACCACAAAATAATAAGACTAGGAATATTTTAAATGTCGATAATGGAAGCCCACATAATAAAACAATTTGAAATCATTATGTATTTATAATCACCTGAAGTTCTCAATGATCGTAGATCTGCCGGACCCTTTTCACCTTTTCGTTAAGAATGCGGACAGATCTGTATATTTATAGGCATATGCAAATCTGGGCATGAATATGGTTTTTTTTTTTTTTTTTGGGTGACGGATGTGATGTAGAGGATTGGCATACGATAGGGAGTCTTGATCCTCCGTGGGAGTGTACCGTTCAAGATTTGGTGGAATTTACAATAAGGACCGTTCTACGTGTACATAAACGTTGACACACTAATTTACAATCACGTGAATTGATAAATTTTGGTACATTGATTTTGACAACACATTTTCTAATCAACTATTAGATTTTTGGCTAATAGGGAGGTGTAATCAAGGTGTACGCTTTGTAAGTACAGGTAGTTTAATCCTTACAATAATGGGGATATCTCAGTGGGGTTGACTTTTTTAATTTTAAAATTGAATTTATAAATGTTAGGCTCCGTTTGAATCACATTTTTTGGGGAAAAAAATATTTTTAAACAGTTATTAGACATAATTTTAATCACATATTTTTCAATAAAATAATATTATATGTAAATTCAAAAAAATTTCTTATTTTTTAACCAAACATTTCATATCAATACAATGTTTAAAAATGTATTCTTATGAAAATAATGTGGTTCAAACAAGGACTAATAATTGTATAAAGCCATTCGTACAGAAAAATAGCTCACAGAATTCCACTAGATACTCATAATGTGTGGACCTCAAGTTGCTATAATAACAATCATGCAATTGGCAGTCGCTCACTATCATAGTAGCCATACATGACATACATGTGATAATTAGTGATTTATTGAATAAAGTAATAAAAAATCACTACATTAATATATTAAATCACTAATTGTCATATGTATACCACATAAGACGATTATGACAGTGAGCGATTAAAAATAGTATTACTCCGATTAAAAATGTCAAAGAAATCCTCCACCTGCTACTGTGTGTTGTATGTGGCATTATGTTATCCACATTTTTGTACGCACAGCATTCTCCATGTTAATTTCAAACAAATTTCAATAAAATAAAAAAAATAATGACTTTGAATAATTTTGTAATTAAAGTTTTTCATAGCTTGATAAATTAATGAAGGATAAATTGTAGTATTTGTCCTCGGCCATTAGGCAAGTAGCATACGTTTCTCAACCTCTTTTATCCGATTTTTATTTTTAACCTTTGAAAAATTAGTCAACTTCGTCTCTATAGCAAGAATATTTTTTATTTGTAGACGACATGTATTCCCATCCTTACATACTCTAATTATTTTATTTTATTTTATTTTATTTTTTTTTTTTTTGGGTCTTAAGAACCCTAATTTGATTCTTACAGAAAAATAGTTGCGGTGAGTTTGTTTTATTTGACCCACCTAAATGTAAGCAGTCAAAGCATGTAATTCTTAGGTTGTTGAGGTGCATGCAAGCATTAAAATTAGAGGTTAGTAGATTAATACTACATATCAAGGGATGGGAAGCAGAGATTAGAAGCACAAATGAAGATATCGGAAGCTAGAGGGGAAAAAAAGCGAGTTTTTCGAAGTAGAATCAAAGAAAATGTGAATATTAAATGGAACATTTTTTCCCCATTTTGTCTTCTTATAAGCTTGTTTGTAATGTGGATTTCTTGATTTTAGAATGCATCGAGTTTCAGATGTGGTGTAACATGATAACGTGTTCATGTAAAGTTCTCTTTGTTAATCGAATTATGTTCATCTTTGTGTTTGTATGTTCGGATTTTTTCATATTTTTCTGTTAATTAAAATTTTGCATAGAAAGACTGAGGATATTATCTGAAATAACGAATAATTATACCCACACATGATTTTTAACTTTCAACTTCAAAAATCAAGTTTTAACTTATTTATTCAAAAATAAAGTCATAATTTAATTTTTAGTATCAATAGTAAAATTTAATTTAATATCATATCTATTAATTATGGAAGTCAGAAAAATTATTCAAAAGAAAATATCCCCAAACTTCCCAAAACTTCATGATTCTCAATCATCCACATCGGCTCCTCCACGTTCACCAATGTACGTCGAAACCTCCTCTACATTCTTCATCGATAATTTTTACTCCTCAATGTCATTCTCTCAATTGTATGACGTCATTCGTTCATCATCGTCACTCTCTCCCTTTTTCCCCATTACATAGTTTATGAACCCTAGATATGTACAAATCTACATCAACGTGGTTTAAACAAGGAGTGTTGATTGGTTTAAAAAGAAAGACGAGACCGATAAAAGGAGAGACGATAGAAAGAGACCCGAACTACCCCAAAAAATAAAAATTAAAAAAAATTCGGGGTCCAAAGAAAAATCGAATTTGAAGAAGGTAAATCAATTCACTGTTAATTCTTTAATTTTTATTTTTATTTTATTATTATTATTTTTTTTTTATCGAAGTCCATTTGGTGGCTAAGTTGCATTTCGAATGTATTCGATTTTTTTTACCTGACTTTGGGTGAGTTTATCTATTGAATGGAGTGTGTTTGTAGCGCGATTTGTTTGAATTTTAATTGAGTATCTTCAGCAAATGTGACCTCCATTTTTATTCGGTTGTGACTTGACCTTCCGAACATTTGTGACCGAAATATTTTTCAATTTGTGAAATGTTTTTGTATTGTCAACTAATCAAATTGAGTGTGATATGGATGTTATACCATAACTATTGGTATGTGACTTGAGTTATTATTGGATTGTGATCTAAAATTTATCCTAACGTTAGATGGTTATGGAAAAACTCAGCAGGCTAAATTGTGACTGAAGTTGTGATATTTGCATTACAATCCAAAACTGTGACTATATGTGATTTCAACTATGAAAAAAAAAATTAGTATTCTGAACTCAGACATGTTTTCTATGATATTTATGTTATAGTATAGTACTATAACTATAGATGCATTTGATTGCAAACATGAAATTTGTATGGAAAGAAAATAAGTTCTAGGTAATTGAATTATCTGGACTTATTTACATGAAAATTGTCAATTAAATGTGTTTGATTGATTTAATTTTCAATCTAGAAAATGTTATACTTGTCTGTTTTTTATTCGTGAGTAGACGAGAGAGAGAAAAAGAGAGTAAATTCTATGGAAAATAAAATCCTACTCCCATAAAGAAAATATTTTTCTTGATTTTGAGGAAAATATGATCATGTGACTAAAGTAAGAAAATGTTTTCTATGAAAAAAATATCAATCAAACAATACAAAAGTAAGGAAAAAAAAAATATTTTTCATGAAAAATATTGGCAATCAAACACACAACATATGTTTTTAACTGCAACAAAAAATCAGTAAGGTTGAACTTTAACACGTTTTCGATGATATTTATGCATTAAGATATATGAACTGCGACTGTATTTGTTTTTATTTGTGACTTGATTGGTCTAGTATTATATGTAACTTAAAGAACTGTGACTATATTGTTTTTATAAATGAATGCCATATATGATTCTAGTGTTGTTTATGTTATACAACTAATGCAGAAATGAAATTATTTTATTCACAAATATCATTGGTTCTCCGGAAAAGTTAAAACAAATGAGACAAATGGAGTGCAAACATGTTCTATTGATCGTGAAGATGCTTCCATGGAGTAATAGACAAATATTGTTGCTAACATTCCAACAAAATAGGTATGTTTGCAAACATGCCGATGACATTTGATGCTAGCTTCGTTGTTGTTTAATTATTGGCAGATAAGGCAGGTTACCCAAAAAAATTAAAAAAAATAAAAAAACAAACAAACATGAATGATAGATATTTTCATTTTTTTTTCTAAACATTAGTATCATGAAAAATTCATAGTTGATGGACTATTGTATTTTTGTTAATCATCAGTTTATTTGTAGACAAAAATTGAAATGTCTATGACTATAGGATTTGTGTTCATTTGAGTAACATGGTTTTAGTTTTTCATGTTGATGGTGAAATTTTGTTCATTTTGAGGTCATTTACATATGAGCAGGTCATATTTGATTTGACGTTGTTACAGATATATCTTGTAAAATGTTATTGCTACAAGTCACAGTATGCAGATTACTGGCCAAGTGTCACAGGTCACATATCAAAGGTTTTAAAGAGAAAAAAATAAAACTTGGTTTGCAGGTTAAACAAATCTTTATACGGTTTCAAACAGGCGTTGAGATGTTTGCGTAAGAAATTTGATTTCTTCATCCTGAGCCTAGAATACAACAGACTCACTTCAAGTCCTTGTGCCTACTACATACGATTTGGAGATAATGATTTCATTATTCTACTGTTATGTTGATGGTATGTTGGTGACAAGCCCCAACAAAGATCGTATTAAAAACTTGAAGGCACAGTTGGTTAGGGAGTTTGAAATGAAGGACTTGAGACCACTAAAAAAGATTCTAGGGATGAAAAATTACCGAGACAGAAATAGTAGGAAGTTTTGACTATGTCACAAGATCAACTTGAAAAAAATCTTGCGACTCTTTAATATGCAAGATTATAATCCAATTTTGATCCCTCTTCCTATTAATTTCATGTTATCCTCAAGTATGAGTCTTAGCAGCGATATAGAGAAGATGGAGATGTCTCAATTATCATGTGCATCAGTAGTGGGTAGCTTAATATTTACCATGATCTGTACAAGACCATACATTGAGCAAGCTATGGGAGTAGTTAGTCGATACATGATAAATCTTGGTAAATAGCATTAGTGTTATGTGAAGAAGATCTTGAGATATGTCAAGGGTACCCCAAATGCTACATAATATTTTGGAGGATCAAATTATACTGTTAGAGGCTATGTTGATTCAGATTATACAGGTGATCTTGACAAAAGTAAATCCATCATTGGTTATGCGTTTACTCTTGCTTGAGGAGTTGTAAGTTGGGTTTCGACACTGTAGTATGTTGTGAATACTTTTACTACATTGGTAGAATATGTGGTAGCTACACAAGCTTGCAAAAACATAACCACAAATGTTACGGAGGACCTCAAACACAAACAAGAGAAGATTGCTCTATTTTGTGATGGTCAAGGTGCTTTGCACTAGGCAAAGAATTCAGCATTTTACCCGAAGACAACGCACATTCAAGTTTAGTATCACTTTGTTTAAGAAAAGGTGAAAGATAATAGTGTGGATATATATAGAAAATCCATACAGAGGACAATTTAGGAGATATGTTAACA